TACTGGAGATAGTGTGTGTGTTTAGTGTACTGGAGATAGTGTGTGTGATTAGTGTGAAGAACTCATCAGCGCCACTAAGATCCGGTTGCTTCTGCTTTTGCGTGTTGTGTTGCAGCGTAAATCAGTGTAACACTTCATGCCTGTTGTTGTTTTTTTACATTTATATCTTTTATATTTGTCTTGAATCTCATTTTCTCATTCTCATTTAATCTTTTTAGAGTTCCCGTGGTCACGGAAAGCATTAAAATTGTGTCATTTCTAATGTAAATTAAAAGAATAAATCTTGTTATGCTCATTTGAATGGCTTTTGTGATCATGAACTGGTGAACAAGTGCGAAGATCAGACTATCATTCAGAACATGTTGAAAGTCTGAAGATGAAGAGAGTAAATCTGTGTGTGTGTGTGTGTGTGTGACGAGAAAACAGGGATTCTGTCTGATTCACCTGCTGAAGTCTGTCACGATGTGTGTGTGTGTGTAACACAAGATCAGGGGAAATCAGATACTTAAAGATCCTCTCTCTCTCTGTGTGTCTGTGTTTGTGTGTGTGTGTGTGTTTGTGTGTGTGTGTGTGTGTGTGTGAGTGTGTGAGTGTGTGCGAGTGCGATTTTAAACATGAATCATGTAAACTTTATATCGTATGCCTGGACTTCAGAGATGCCTTTTGGACATTATCTCACAAACTGGTGTGTAACCTGTGTCGTGGCAAGTGTGTTACCCTCGCTCTCCTCAGTAAGACACAGAGGGCGTGAGGGAAGACACTGCTTCAATCTATGGACCAGCGATCAGAAGATCAGAATTCGCTCGAGAGACCGTGTTAGCAGCAAAGAACCACAGGGACACACTGTTTGGGTTGAGAAAAAAACAGGTAGGCTATGTTGTATTTGAAAAGAGCAACAAGCAATTAAAAACAAAAGAAAATATTCAAACGGACAATAAAAATTAAACAAACCGTCGATGAGAGGAAAATAAACCAGAAATAAATCCCTCTTATTTAAATCCTAATTATACCCCTTTTGTCTTACTTTTATCTATTATAATTAATACTTCCTATTTAATTTTAAATCTGATTTCACCTGTTTAACTTTTATTTTTGGTATAAGAAAGATATAAGGTTTTGTTAGTTATTTGAGTTATTCCTAATTTGACTTATTTATATTAAGAATACTTTTCTCCTCTGGTCTGATTTAAATGTAACTCTTTTTCAATTTCAAATCTTTCAAATTACCTTTCAGTTCACTCTTATTACCCAAAATAAAAGTTATGAACACTTAATAAATGGAAAATGTCTCAGTGCTCACAGAAATCTCAGTGTGATATGAGATTGTACCAGTTCTCAGCTCCAGTTCAACGTTCCTTCACAAGATCCTTCTTCCGCAACTCAAGTTAACTTACAGTTCAGTAAGAAAGGAAGAGAAAACCTGTGCTCGATCCTACCACACTATTCACAGTTCGATTTGTAGTTCGATCCTTATTTGGGCATGGCTCGCCAGTTCCTGGAACTTCCTGCTTGCACCAACTCTCCAACTTTCGCCGTGAAGCAGGGACATTTCACGTACAGCTTCCTCGATCCTCGTTCAGCATCCAAACTCAGCAATTAGAGAATATCAGACGAAACCAAAAGAAAATCCAGAAAGAAAAAAAACAATAGAAAGCCAAAGGGGGGAAAAAAAAACCCAACCTTGAAAAAAAACAAGGCCAAATGTACAATTAGGCACTTTCCTCAAAAATCCACATATTACCACACTTAATATCAATAAATTCAACTACTAACATTTTATACTTCTCTTTTCATATAATATTAACACATTAACTTCTCATTTATATTCAAAAACAGGATTTCAAATGACGCGCAAAGGCCACATCTGCTCAATTTACACATGCGTCACACATTTGTTTGCTCAAACTCAGTTATTCGACGAAAACTACAAATTTACATTTCACAAGTCATCAAAAATAACTTCTCCCTTTATGATAGCCTATCACTCATTTGACATATTTATGAAGAAATCTTCTATTATTTTTTCCTTTTTTTACAGGTTGACTCTTACATAAATTTAGTTAAATATAACACATATTTGGCATTTGAACACATTTGATCAGATATTTATACATAAGAACCTTAATAATGACAATAAAACAGAAATTTCACTTACCAAGAGTACTCTAATATCAATTAGAAAAAGTTCGCGGCAGCTCTGGCTCGTACTTCAATGCACGTACAAAAAGCTAGTTTCACTTCAACTCAAAATCAATTATCACAGTATCAAGTTCAGATTCTATTTCTCAAAATCTTTGTGTTCTATAACTCTCAATCTCTCTAAACAACTACTAGCTCGCTCATTTTAATCTTCTTTCTCTTCAGATCGCGTTCACTCTGAAATTTATGTATTCTTATTTTCTCTTTTCTTTACAGATATTTAATAAAATAACTGTTTATTCACATAAGTGTCAGTCTCTTTCTTTTCTATAAAATAAAATAAAATAAAATAAAACATTTAGTAACCTGGGTTACAGTTGCTTAATGCATTAGAGGAGATCCACCTCAGCCTTTTGTGGACATCATAACGGATGTGTACAGAGGAACTTTTCTGCAAGTCATCTGTGGCAGACAACTTACAAAGCCTATACCTCTTGAGGTGGGCATTAAAACAGGCTGCCAATGGAGTGCTGTTAACTTCATTCTGGCTATCAATCAGTGGATGAAATGGATCTGTCAGTGCGCAGTGCGCACCATCACATACCAGATCTCCAAACCCTGTCCAGGGGTACGCTGACGAGGTTGAGGTGTCCTCTAGCGAGGAGAATGTCATCCAAAATATGCTGGCCAGAACGGATGAATTCCTTCAGTGGTCTAAGTTGGAGGTAAAACACACCAAATGTGCAGCATTTTATGAACGGCGGAGTGGTGGAAACCAGTGGTACAAATCTAAATCTGATAACCCCCCCCTCCTTTGGGACAGCCTATCAGGGTCTACTCTCGTAATGAAACATACACCTACCTTGGACACAAATTCAATATTGCAGGTGAGTGGGGTGAACAGGTACAGGAGTTATCGTGTGCCTTTAAGAACAGGATCGATCTGATCGACTCCTCCCCCCTACCTGTAGTCATGAAACTGGAGGCCATTAGAGAAGTAGCTCTGGCAAAAGCCTCTTTGCAAACATTCACATTCCACAAAATGTTCTACGAGACATGAACAATAAAACAGTTGGGGCCGTTGAGGAAATGGCTGGGACTGAATTCACACTCCACCAGGGACATAATCTTCCTCACACTTAAGGAAGGGGGTCTGGGTGTCCCAAATGTGGAATGGACTTATTCCATACAAGACTAATGCACCTGATACGCATGCTTAACAACGACGATGCTGCGTCAGAGAGTTAGCCAGAGCTTCCCTCTTACTGGACCTTAGGAAGAGAAAAATCCCTCTGGCTTGGAGCAACGGTAAACTGGACACACAAGCCGTGGGTTTCGGAGTTCGCTCAGACTGGCCGGACCTAAATGACTTGTGTAATAGATTGGCAGTTAAACTACAATGGACTCAAAGCAACTCACAAACTGCACCAGAGGTATCTGACGCTGTGGTCACAGACCCATCTGTTACTGTGAAGGCCACAGTCTGTCACAATGAGATGCAACACACACTACAGAGCACAACAGCAAGATCCTTATTGAACATCAAACAGATGGACACAAAACAACACTGGACTGGACTAAAAATGCAGGGAAAACTGGCATGTTTAGACTTTGCTAACTCTACCTCTCATTCTATGTACAAAAATGCTGCAATAGGGGAAGATAGTCTTCACTTCACTGCCAAGGCCAGACTACAGGTGTTGTGTTACCAAACCAGATACAACCTAGCATTATGGTACCCTGAAAATTATTACCCACACTGCATATTGCATTCTAACTCTGATCACCTTGAGTCAGTTGCCCTTGCCCATATTGTAAATGGCTGTAATAGGTATAAAGGGTTATATACAGCACACCATGACCGTATTGTAGACCTCATTGCAAGTGCTGTTCAAGACATATTTCCAAAAGATATGCCTATAAACATTCACGAGTATTACCGGACTGGTTTAACAGCTCTGATTATTTATTTTGTAACATCCCTAACACCCCTGACATTGTGTTCATGGATACAGATAAAAAAACTGATAAAAAAGAGGTGCTAGTCCTTGAAATAGGTTGTACGATTTGTATATGGACATACTGTAGCCTTTTTGAAAAAAAAAAAAAATACCAACCCCTCCTTGCAAAGATTAGTGACCTAGGATATGCATGTAAGTTTGTGGCATTGATATTTGGCAGCCTGAGACATGTCCACAAACTGGCTGTTAGTGGACTGAGACTGGCAGGGCTACCAAAAGGAAAGTCCAAACAGCTGGCAAAGTTTTGCTCAATATCTGCTGTGATAGGCAGCCTTGCGGTGTGGCGTAAGCGATGTTTTATGTACCCTTGAATGTCAAAGCTGTGTTATCTCTGAGAATATTTGAACCCTTTCTGTAAGAAATTTGATTGGTGGATTCAAATAAAGAAATCAAATGTGTGTGTGTGTGTGTGTGTGTGTGTGTGTTTTCAGAGATGTAAATGAATGGAGTCATCAGTAAATGACAGTATTTTCATTATTCAGGGAATTATCTCTTGAATATGGTTCAGTCTGATTACAAGAAATCGAGCTAAACTGAATTTGACCATAGCGAGAATAATCAGTCTGTGTTTGCCTTCGTCACTGAACTGATTATAAATAAAAATGAATTGTGTTGCATGTCCGACTCGTGTCCACTAGAGTGCGCAGAAGAACTGATGTGATTGTCGTGTGTGTGTGTGTGTGTGTCGTATACTTTACATCAGTGAACAACAGCGTTCAGCTCGAGTGTAGCTGATGGCTTGCGATAGACAACCTGTAGTATTTGCATTGGAAGCAGCCCAGTGTGTGTGTGTGTGTGTGTGTGTGTGTGTGTGTGTGTGATGACCGGAAGTGACGTAACGTGTGTACTGTCCGTGATGTCAGAGTTCGGCGTGGAGGAGAGTGACGCGAGTGCGTGATGACGTCGCGCGGAGATGATGATGAATGAAAAGATGATGATGATGATGATGACAGACAGAAGGAGAGAGACACAGATGTGAGAGAGCGCGACGGATTGATGGAAACGATGCAGATGACGGAGGAGCGCTAAGGGGTTGTTGATATTCAGCATCAGTGTGTGTGTGTGTGTGTGCGTGTGTAGGCTATGTGTGTCCGCACGCGACGCGTTATTCTTCTCCAGCATGAGGAGCGTTGAGAGTCAGCGAGCGAGCGGAACGACTCGATTTACGGCGCACTGAATCTCACTCGCGCGAATAGCAGGACACACACACACACACGGAGATCCGCGAGCAGCAAAATGGGGTATGTTACTGTGTTTACTGTGTGTGTTACTGTGCTTTACTACAGCGGGTGTGTGGAAGCTCTCTCCTGCCGCCAGATCATGCTTTGGGCAATCATAATCATGACATACTGAGTCATTATTGACACGACAAGTCAAAATGACATGGGGCATTGAAATAACATAAATTATTTAAACATCACATATTATTGTCTTTTCATCTCATAATTATGACTTGGGGTGTCATAATTATTACTTAGTTTGTCATTATTTTGATTCACCTTAGCATGATTGTGTTTTGTATTGTGGCAGAAATGGGTTTAGATTGGTCGTCATCTTCATGGTCACAGATTAATACCGCGGTATACCGTGATGTGGATCCGTGAGTTTGGGGTCATCTCATTGGTTCATCTGAAGGGGTTGTGTTTGGTTTGAGTGTGTTGTTAGAAGAAGTCAAGGAGTCTCTTATAATTTCAACTTTTTGTGTCATAATTATGAGACAAAAATTAAAATTGACTCGTTGAGAGAAATTTAGAGTTGGACATGACTGTCATAATTATAACAAAGTTGGAAATGACTGTCGAAATCAGACACAAAAAATTAAAATTGACTCATATGGCTTAAAAAAGTCAAAATTGAGTCATAATAATTACAAAAATGTAAAAAAACATAAGTCAAAATTTGATAGAAAAAAAATGTTAAATTGACTGAAAAATGTTCAAAACCGACTGTCATTAATTATAACAAAAAGTTGATAATGACTGTCGAAATTTTGACATCTCAGGTCTTGAAATTAAACACCCTCCCTGTGGACACTGAAGCTCGAGTCACTATCGGCTGGTCATGTTTAATTTACTCGGTATTTAGATTTCTCAGATTTATTTAAACATGGAATGCAAGAACAATGCAAATGAAAAAGTCTACATAAATATAATATGAATATAAACTTTACATTTCAAATACTATTAATAAAGTCAAGTAAACCATCTGTAATAAAATAAGACCAAATAATCAAACAAGCGATAGCACAAATGAACAGAGGTGCGAATGTAATCCACTGGGTCGTCAGGTCTCAGAAATTAAATAAAGTCATGATGTAAAATAACACTGCATAGTCTTCTCTGGATATATTGAATAAATATATTGATTAATCCTTATTACAGTTACAAAAGTTATTTGTTCAAGAGCATTAAGAGAGTTTTTGCAGTGAGTTTTGATGATTAACAACACACACACTCACACACACACGCACAGAAGAACATTAGGCCACTCTCGCTTTAACAGCGAATGCACTGATCTAACGAACTGATACACATACCTGTACGTTTCCTCCTCCACTGTTTTTTCATCCTCCACACACACCGATCATAGACGCCGACTGGGTTTACTGGGAAACTCGCCAAGATCGGCATGTTGACGTGTGTGTGTGTGTGCTTGTGTCTGTTTGTGTGAAATTGTCCGTTCAAGCGCAAGAAGACGTGAAAGAGTTCAATACACTATTCCTGTCCTGTCAGATGCGCTTCAGATGCAGTTTGAACACAAAACACACACGCACTCGCACATGCACACACACTCACTTTCACATACACTCACTCACGCACACACTCGCACGCACACACTCACTCTCATCCACACACAGAGTGCTCCAGTTATCTTCTCGCCTTCTTGTGCAAGAATGTTCAAATTGGCAAAGCTTAAAAAGTGACGGTTCTGTTAATGAGCCTTTAGAGAGTGTGTGTGTGTGAGAGAGAGAGAGAGTGTGTGTGTGTGTGTGTTTAAGATAGAGAGAGAGAGAGTGTTTTTTTTTGTGTGTGTGCGGGTGAGTGAGTGTGTGAGAGAGAGAGTGTGTGAGTGAGTGACTGTGTGTGCAGGTGAGTGAGTGTGAGAGAGAGAGAGAGAGTGTGTGTGTGTGTGTGTGTGTGTGTGTGCACACGAGTCATTGTGTATGCAAGTGAGTGTGTGTATGCATGTATGGCGTCATAGGCGATATTCTTACATAAATTCAAAATCATGGTATAAAAAACTGAAATCCTGAAATAAAAAGTGTACATTATGACAGTCATTTATGACGTTTTGAGTTTGTATGTCATATATGACTCAGTGTGACAATCATGAGCTCAATACTTCAGATCCTGCTAGATGAAGCTGATTGGCACACACTTATATGCCGGTGTGTTAGGATGCGGCGCTGTGAAACGGCAGCTGTGTCTGAAGTGTGCTGATTGGCTCAGGCCCAGATGATGTCATTGCTCCCTATGATGATGTCACTGTTGTTACGGAAGCTGTGATTGGCTTCAGAGTTTGCTTTACTTGATGGTTGTAAAGTAGCGTGTGTATGCCACGCCAATTCGTGTTTCCATTTTTGCCGTGCTATCAAGACGCATAATCGCCTTTCAGCGTGTTTATGAACGCCGTTGACTTAACGTTATATAAATATATGACTTACCTCAACCCCATCCCTAAACTTAACCGTCACTGGGGTTAATGGCATTTATGACTGTTCCCTTACCATCCTAGGTAAAAAAAAAGATATGACTTACCTCAACCCCATCCCTAAACTTAAGGGTTAATGGCATTTATGACTGGAGATTTGACTGCGTGTACAGACACGCGGAATGACGCGGACGTTAATGGCGTAGACATACACGCATACACGCGGATAGCTCAAAATGCGTAGAGATAACACGCCACCTGACTCGAAAGTGGCGTGTATGTTTACGCAAAAGTCATGATGTCATGTTGGTTTGTGCTTGATGACATTCACATGTTCTCTGATGGTCACATGACATGCAGGGAAAAAGATTATTATAATAATAATTGTGTGTGTGTGTGTGTAAGTGCAGTGCTTGTGTGTGTGCAGTGATTTTGTGTGTGTGTGTGTAAGTGCAGTGATTGTGTGTGTGCCAGCATGTGATTGGTTGGATGGTGACTGCACTGTGAGCAGATGGACCGGCTCACCCTTGGCCTGTGTGTGTGTGTGTGTGTGTGTGTGTGTGTGTGTGTGTGTGCGCGTGCGTTCGTGTGTGTGTGTGTGTTAGAACAGCTGATGTCAAAGCCTCATCAGCTAGTTTGACTTTTATCTCTGTTTGAACAATGGCTCTGTGTGTTGTAGTCAAATTCATTCACAGCAGTCGAGCAGTGTGATAAGAGCTGATTTCCTCTAGACCATACACACACACACACACTCGCACACACACACAATAATTGCACACTCACACACACACTATGCGAGCACACAATCACTACACACACACACACACAAAATCACTACACACACGCACACAAACAGACACATACACTCGCTCTCACACACAGACACACTCCAGTTCTTGCAAGGGTGCTCCATTAGAGTTCATGTTCATTCCCACAAGATGTTTGATGCGACTCAGAGATTCACTCACTTCTGTGTGTTAATGTGATTAATGTGAGTGTGTGCTGTTAAATAAGAGTGTGAGACACTGGAGACTCGATCCGCCTGACCCACATTCTCAACACCCCCCCCCCCCACACACACACACACACACACACAGATCAGTGTGAGGATCTGGAATAAAGCACACGGACTCAGATAAGATGTTCTGTGGGAGCAGGAACAGGGAAGCTTGCTTTGCACGCTGGGATTTGCGTTGTGCTCGAGCCGATGATGATGATGATGATGATGATGATGATGAGCGGGTGATAAATTCGTCCACACACAGATGGACTCGAGTCCTGGTCTCCAGCGACGTGTTAATAGTCATTCTCCACAGAAAATCCTTCATAATCCTAATCTGACTGTGGACGGGCAGTTGATGTGCTGGAGGATTGTGGGTAACGCTGGTTTCCCATCATGCACTTGTGTGTGTGTGTATTTGCAGAGAACAGCCAATCTTTAGCACCAGAGCTCACGTCTTCCAGATCGACCCCAACACGAAGAAGAACTGGGTCCCCACCAGCAAACACGCCGTCACTGTCTCGTACTTCTACGACAGCACACGCAACGTGTACCGCATCATCAGCCTCGACGGGTCAAAGGTCAGACATTCATCAAGTGAATCATTCATTTGATTAAATGTTGCTTGCATTGTTTTCCAGCACAAATATCTAAACGTTCCTCAATCCTCATGCATTGACTGCTGAACCGCTGAGTTTGAATGAAGTTTGTTTTTTTGACCCTTTGATGAATATTTCTTCACGTCTGCTTCTATTTAATTCCTTAAACTCTCTTCACTTGGTCTCCGTTCAGACTCAGTCCAAATCTGATGTTTGTGCAGGAATTTGCATCGGTGTAGGGAGTGTGAACAGCCAAACATCACATGAAATGCTGTTTCTACAAATGTGGAGTGTAGGGCTGAGAATTAGAAACTTGTTATGAAATGAATATTTTGATTCCTCTTATGGATTCCTCCGTGTATCTCAGCATGAGTGTATAGTGCTCGAGCGAGAGACTGTGTGTTCTATCCTCGTGTGTATCAGTGTACTGGACCCGCAGCTCTTAAAGTGACAGCACTAATATTCCTCCGTCTCTATAATAACACTAATCACACAACAGGAGTCTGAGAATACACACTCGCTCTTCACTAAACTGCATTTATTACAGTTTCTGAACCTGAAAATCTTCAAACACTGTCTATATCAGTCGTATCTTTGTTCAGTTGTGTCTTATTTGTTGCGATTGCTATTTTTTTATTTGTTCTTTTTTAATCACAGAATGTTTTATTTAATAATAATAGTGGATATTAGTTGGGCTAGTTGTTCTTCTGTGGTGTTTAAACCTCAGGCAAACGCTCCTGTGTAACAGTTCTTCAGTTGATGATTTCAGCTGCAGTTACAGTTCCACAATAACACTAATTGTGAATGATATCCAAGGGTTTTTACGGTTTTGGAATCGAAATTTGGAATCAAAATCAGAATTGTTCAAACTCAAACGAAGCCCAACTCTTGGAATCCTATTGAAATCTCATTACTGTAAATGTGCTTCAGTCTCGGATCGGGTTTCACTGTCGCTCTCGTGAACGCGTCAGACGCTGTTATAGAAAACATTATAATGGAGACGTGTGGAGTTCTGAGACCGGCTGATGTTTGTGTGTGTGTGTTTACAGGCCATCATTAACAGCACCATCACCCCGAACATGACCTTTACCAAGACCTCGCACAAGTTTGGGCAATGGGCGGACAGCCGGGCCAACACCGTCTACGGCCTGGGCTTCTCCTCCGAGGCGCTGCTCAGCAAAGTACGCTCTACACACTCAACATGTGCATTTCTACACACTGCACACTCTCAAATTGTGCATTTCTACACACTACACACTCTCGACATGCGCATTTCTACATCTTAATACACTCATCTTAAATCAAATAAATTGTTTGTTTACTTGATGCTGATGGTCAGCTGATGTATGACCTAAACTTCACTGAATGTGACCCCGGAATAACGCCGGTAAAACTGCTGTAGAATGTCACATTTAACTCAGGAAAGATATTGAATGACCATAAACTCGATAGTCCGCTAGAAAAATAAATAATGAAAAATATTGTGTCGGGAATGGGAAAGGGTGTGTGGGGAATGAGGAAGCGTGTGTCGGGAATGGGGAAGCGTGTGTCGGGAATGGGGAAGCGAGTGCCGGGAATGGGGGGGAAACGAGTGCCGGGAAGGGGGGGAAGCATGTGTCGGGAATGGGGGAAGCATGTGTCGGGAATGGGGGGAAGCAAGTGTCGTGAATGAGGGGAAGCAAGTGTCGGGAATGGGGGGAAGCATGTGTTGGTAATGGGGAAGCGTGTGTCGGAATGGGGGGAAGCAAGTGTCGGGAAGGGGGACGCGTGTGTCGGGAATGGGGAAGCGTGTGTCGGGAATGGGGAAGCGTGTGTCGGAATGGGGAAGAGAGTGTCTGGAAGGGGGAAGCGAGTGTCTGGAAGGGGGAAGCATGTGCCGGGAATGGGGGGAAGCGAGTGTCGGTAAGGGGGAAGTGAGTGTCGGGAATGGGGAAGCGAGTGTCGGGAATGGGGAAGTGTGTGTCTCTGACGCAGTTTTCCGTCTGTGTGTAGTTTGCTGAGAAGTTTGCGGAGTTCAAAGAAGCCGCGCGATTAGCGAAAGAGAAATCTCAGGAGAAGATGGAGCTGACCAGTTCACCTTCACAGGTATAAACCAAAGCATCACTGTATGTGTGTGTGTGTGAGAGATTGTTTGAGAGTGTTTTTGAGTATGAGTTTGGGTGTGTATATTTGAATGTGTGTTTGTTTATATATGTGTGTGTGTGTGAGTTTGATTGAGTGTGTTTGTGAGGATGAGTTTGAGTGTGTATGTTTGAATGTGTGTTTGTTTATATATATGTGTGTGTGTGTTTGTTTGTGTTTTTCTACTTCAATCTATTGACATCAATCACATTGTCTCTCAAGCGCAAACCTGTGTCGTGCTTCCCGCGCTTCAAGGTAAGGAGCAAACGCTCATGAGCGTCAGTACCCGCTGACTCTGACCTGTGAGACCCAGATCAGTCGTCCAGAACCAGTCCGTCCCAATCCTCCCTCACTTAAGACACCCGTCCCTCCTCACACTCCTCTATCCCTGCAGCCGATCCTCTGTGAATAATGTGCTCTTGATTAACATGAGATGTTGTCGTTTCTCTCACGGTGTCGTTCAATCCCCTAAAACGAGCAGATCCGTGGTGCGTCAAAGGTAAGCCTGAGGCCGACGACCCTGACCTTTCACCCCTGATATATCATCAGCTCCAGTCTACCAAAGAACGTATATTGACAAAAAGTGAAAGCCAATAGAACGTTCCATTGCAACACCAACACCCAGCAGCAGCCCTACACAGCCGCCATTTTGGAGTGAAAGCGACTCGGCAGTGGCTCGGCAGTCAAATATTATACATATATTTAGTCCAGTGCAGAGGTCATTTTTAGGTTGAAATAATTAGGTGATTATTTTACTCACAACAGTTAACGTTATAGTATTTAAAAAGAAGTTGCTACTTAACCAGGCTTTTCCCCCCACATTAACTTAAGACAGGGAGGTTCAAGGATTTAATTATATTATATTACTCTCCACATTAAGTGTGACAGGTAAGAATAAAGTGATGTCAGTTCACAAAGTTATAATAGGAGTTTCCAGGAGGTACACATAACATTACATACAAAAATAAGTAATCAATGAAATAAATGAATTAAGCGAATAAATGTAATTGTACTAAAATGTAAATGTTGGACAATAAATGTATAACAGCAATAGAATAGCTTTATGGTAAACTGTTTTTTTTTTGTTTTTTTTTTGCAGAATTATCTTATATTAATGATTGTTAAAGCAAGACTATGTAAACAAAAAACCACAGCCACTGTCCAAAGTGGCAAATTAAAGCAATGCAAATTAAAGCAAAGCAGACACAGCAATGCATCATGTTCTATAAGATTGTCATGTTTGTAGCATGATCCAGGGAATTAAAACGTACAAAATATATTCCAGGCCTAGTGGAATTGGTAACTAATAATAGTAGTAAAGGTGTAAAGTTGCATAAAATGGAAATACTCACTAATGTAAGAAAATACTACCTCAAAAAACTGTTATCTGTGCTGTTGTCCAGTAACTCCAGTTGGAATTTTCACCCCAAAATGGCGGCCGCGCTATCGAAGCGCCACCTAGTGGCTGTTACCAAAAAAGCATCAGAGTTTCGCCTCTTGTTCTTCTATACTCTTTGACTCTACTGTATTAAAGTTGCTCTAAACGATGTCACACGTTTTTTAGGCTAAAACATTTTTTTGTCACATACAGCAAACATCTCCTCACTATCCGCTATAGCTGCCTGTCCCCTAAACACACTGTAAAAAAAAAAAGGTCTATGCAGAAAACCCAGGCTCCACAAATGGCAACAAAAATAAACTGCGGCAACCCGCAATAAACTTTGTAATAAATAAATGACGTTGCTTTAAACGTCAGCAAGAAGTTATGTCACCCGACATCGCTTAGAGCACCTTTAATTCAATGTCGGATTTGTGTTGTAGGATATGAAGTGTGTGTTAATCATACAGATGTGTTGCTACAAGAGCAGAGATTCATCCTGCCAATATGTTTTCCAGAAATGCCTCATATTTATGGACGTGTAAAGTCATCGATTATGAAACAAATGTCATTTTACTCAAATAATTTCTCATCAAAAAAAGCAAAACATTTAAACACACGTACACATCATGATGTGTTCGTGCTGAATTTGATAAATGCTGATTTTGCATCGCATCAATTAGATATTATTATACCATATATAATATAGATATTATTATACCATATTTAATGTTAGGCGAAACATGATGGTTCTTCACTTCATGGTTAATAATAATAATTAGTTTAATTAATTTATTTTCCCAAGCTCAAGTTGCTTCACAATCAACAAACATAAATACATAAAAAAAAGTGAAATATATATTATATTAATAACATCAAATGAATGATTCAATGACTCATAATGACTTCATTGTTTTATTACTGGATGAATCAACATTTTTGAAGGAATCTCTGATTGAATAATTCAATGACGGACACATGTTTCTAACAGTCTCCACCTACTGGTGAAACTCTGATACAATCTTTATTTGAAGCATCAAGTTTTTTTTAAAAGGTGATGTGTACTCTATTTTGAACGCTACTGTAAACATAAGTGATTATATCTAAACTATGTTCTTTTATCCCAGTACTTCTGTGATAATCTGAATGATAGTAAAACAGAAATACTGAATCTGTGTCGTTGAAAAGACTGTCAGTGAAGCGGTTTCACGACAACGGCTCTCTCTGAATCATAACACAGATCTGAATATTCCTGTGATCGCACTTATCAAAGCTTTAATAAACAGGAGAATCACTGTCATGTGCATGAGTGTTTTTAAATAAAGATTGCAATCTTTTAACGATTAAACGTCCTGCTAGATATATACATATAATCAGAAGAGTCATTTTTTTGCTTTCGAACCATGATGTTTTTGATCAAACCAAAGATAAACGTGTGTGTGTGTGTAAGCAGTGATGTCAGAATGATGTGTAATGTGTTTGTGACTGTGTTGTGTGTGTGTGTGTGTGTGTGTGTGTTTCTGATTGGGTTTCTGACTGTGTTTTATGTTTCTTACTGTGTTGTGTGTGTGTGTTTTCTGACTGTGTTGTGTGTGTTTGTGACTGTTTGTGTGTTTGTGAATGTGTTGTGTGTGTTTCTGACTGTGTGTGTGTGTGTGTGTGTGTGTGTGACTGTGTTGTGTATGTTTCTGACTGTGTTTGTGACTGTTGTGTGTTTCTGACTGTTTTTGTGTTTCTGACTGTGTTGTGTGTGTTTGTGACTGGTTTGTGAATGTGTTGTTTGTTTCTCACTGTTGTGTGTGTTTCTGACTGTGTGTGTGTTTGTGACGTGTGTGTTTCTGACTGTTGTGTGTTTTTGTGACTGTTGTGTGTGTGTGACTGTGATGTGTGTGTTTCTGACTGTGTGTGTGTTTGTGACATGTGTGTTTCTGACTGTTGTGTGTGTGTGTGTGTTTGTGACGGTGTTGTGTGTGTTTGTGACTGTTGTGTGTGTTTTTTGTCAGGAATCGGCGCCGGGTGATCTTCAGTCTCCTGTGACTCCAGAGAGCATCAACGGGACAGACGAGAGAGTGACGCCTGACGCCGAGAGCCGAGCTCACACTCCGAGCTCACACACTCTGAGCTCGTACACTCCGAGCTTACACACAGCGAGCTCACACACATCTGAGCTCAACGCCGTGCCGTTCCCACACAGGTCAGCTGATTTCATCCACACACCTAAAGGGGTTTATTGTGAGATCGCACACACACACACCTGAAGGGGGTTTATTCTGGGATAAAAACCGGCTGAATGCACATTTCCTGTTTATTACACGGATACAAGCCACATCAGTAAATAATTTGACACAAAATATTGATCTGAGTTGAAATATTTTATTAGCTCTTTAAACACAAAGCCGCATAGAGAGAGCCGTTTCAGCATCAAACTAGACGAACATTTAAGAGATGTGGTAGGCTATGCAGTCATAACACTTATTACACAGAATTCACCACATTAAAGGGGTCATGAACTGGCTTTTTAAATGTTATTATATTGTTGTCTGAGGTCAACTTATAACGTTCGCTTGGTTTTTGTATTCAAAAACATCAAAATGAACAAGTAATAGGCTATTTTGTACCCTGGTTGTGAGCCTGCCTAAAAAACAGTCGGTTTTTATGGGCGTGTCGCACTGAAGACTTGGAAGTAAACACCCACTGCTGCGAGTGGAGAACAGTTTTGCATATTATAATGAGTTTAACTCACCCGTCGCACATGTATGATACTTATGTGTGTAATGCGCGAATCGGTGGGCGGGGCTAAACCTGCCGTGGTGAAGCAGGCGTTGATCATCTTCTGTGGGGGTGGTGTTTTATCCTCTTTGTCGTCATAGTTCCCCACTTTTAAAAACGAGTCGTTTTTAGAGGCTGTGTCAATAAAAGCTTTTATTGGACTAACAAGGACGTTTTCAGTTCTGAAACTTACAGGATATTCTTATAATATGATGACCTCTCAGACCTCTAAGCTCAAGGAAAATTTGATTTCTCAGTTCATCACCCCTTTAATAATTATGGAGGTCATCAGAGATATTGAATTCAGATTGATCTGTTTTAAAATGGTACCTGTTTGTATCTTATAATTCAACAGTGTACAAAACAATAGTCACAAAATGGCTGCCGCTGCATTTGAATGCAACAAGAGAGAGCGAGTCCACGATACCGGATGGCGTAATTAAATAACTGTACACAAAATATTGATTCGACTGAGTTTTAATATTTTATTAGCGCACCAAGCGCAAAACTTCCACGAAGACGACTCGTTCCTACCGAGTGTGTAGCACTAATGTCGTCAGTGACCAGATGAGCCTGTGTTTCTGTGTTCTGCTGTTATCTGAGAATAATAAACCACTGGATGGAGCGATCGACCAATCAGAATCAAGCATTCCACAGAGCCGTGTAATAATGCCGTGTATCAGACGCTTTTAATATGATCCTGTTGATCTTCCTGCAGTTCGACGTCCATCACCAAACACTGGGAGGCGGAGCTAGCGGCTCTGAAGGGGAACAACGCCAAGCTAACAGCCGCCCTGCTCGAGTCCACCGCTAACGTCAAGCAGTGGAAGCAGCAGCTAGCGGCATATCAGGACGAGGCCGAGCGGCTCCACACACGGGTCAGATCAAACACACACGCTCACATCTGGGGCAGACTCTTCTGTGACTTACTGGATAACGCATGCAAAATAATGCACAAATTATTGAATCACAAAGTTTCTTTTTACTTTTAAACAAGTGAAAATCATGGTAAAAACGTTTGTCAATATATTTTATTCTGAGAGGGAGTTGCATATCTAATGGATGCCATGCATGAAAGGGTTCTATGGTCCTGGAAATCAGTCACACTGGTATATTGTACACGATCAAAATGAGCGCATTGGAAATGAATGAAAGATTAATGTCCTCTAGTGGAAGCATTTGGAACCTAAGCGTATCAACCTAATTTGGAACACAACTCATTTAGATTTATGGCTTTGATTTTATCTCCAAAATTTGGAGTTTATTTAGAAGAAAATAGCATCACAGTCCAGCTTAAGTTAGTTCAGTGACGCTTCATTTCTGTTTTAGTTGATTTATATAGCAGCTCTGGAGAAAACCGTGATGTTATCGTCCAGCTCAGTTCAGTTCTTATATAATGCTGTCAATGCAGGAGATCAATAATATTGTTGAATATTACATTAAATGTCTCCAACTAAGCAACAGAAACTGAAACTCCATCAGTGACAATGGAGGAAAACCCTCGTGAGAAACCAGACTCAGTTTTCCTCTGGTCAGCAGTGTATGATTATGATTCAGGCATTAAAGGTCAGGGGTCAGATTGGATTAGAACATCCAGTATTTGATCCAGTTCCGTTTTGCTGAAGATTGGAGTCGCGTCGGTATGGAGACGTTACTGTGAGTTAGACTGATGGCTGTTGTGTCGATGAGGCCTTGACAGGGGAGAGTCTAGTGGACACAATCTCTGCTGACACTTCATGGATGGGTTGTGGTCGTGTCTAAGCAGAGGTCCTCCATCTGATCTGGATACAGCCTGGATCCGGCTGATTACATCAAGTGTTGTGGTCGTGTATAAGTGACAGGAACTGAAACTCCCATCAGTGAAACTCCATCAGGTCCACCATCTGATCTGGATACGGCCCGTATCCGGCTGACTACATCATGTGTTGTGGTCGTGTCTAGGCGCAGGTCAACCATCTGATCTGGATACGGCGTGGATCTGGCTGACTGCATCATGTGTTGTGGTCGTGTCTAGGCGCAGGTCCACCATCGGATCTGGATACGGCCCGGATCCGGCTGACTACATCATGTGTTGTGGTCGTGTCTAGGCGCAGGTCCACCATCGGATCTGGATACACCCTGGATCCGGCTGACTACATAATGTGTTGTGGTTGTGTCTAGGTCCTCCATATGATCTGGATACGGCCCGGATCCAGCTGACTGCATCCTAACCCTAACACAATATTTTAAAAATCGTAACAATATTTCAGCAATGTATAATTATGATTCAGGCATTAAAGGTCAGGGGTCAGATTGGATTAGAACATCCAGTATGTGATCCAGTTCCGTCTGGCTGAAGACTGGAGTCGTGTCGGTATGGAGACATTACTGTGAGTTAGACTGATGGCTGTTGTGTCGATAAGGCCTTGACAGGGAAGAGTCTAGTTGACACAATCTCTTCTGACACTTCAGGAATGCATTGTGGTTGTGTGTAGGCGCAGGTACTCCATCTGATCTGGATACGGCCCGGATCCGGCTGACTACATCATAAATTGTGGTCGTGTCTAGGCACAGGTCCACCATCTGATCTGGATACACCCTGCATCCGGCTGACTACATAATGTGTTGTGGTTGTGTCTAGGTCCTCCATGTGATCTGGATACGGCCTGGATCCGGCTGACTGCATCGTGGCCCTAACACAATATTTTAAAGTGTATTTAATGTTTAACAGGGAGCAAATGCACTGTTGACAGAACCAGGCTAATATGGTCATACTTTTTGGTTCTAGTAAGAACTCAAGCTGCTGTATTTTGGACCAGCTGGACAGCTGATGTGTGTGTGTGTGTGTCTGTGTGTCTCAGGTGACGGAACTGGAGTGTGTCAGTGGACAGACGGCCGGCATCAAAACACAGAAAACCGAGCTGAACCAGACCATCGAGGAGCTGGAGGCTGAGCTGAAGGCCAAGGAGGAGGTCAGAGGTCACTGCACACAAACACACACACACACAAACATCAGCCGATTCACATACAGACCTCACAGTGCCGATGTGTTTCTCCGCATAGGAACTTGAAAAGCTGAAGGAGGAAGTGGAGAATGCAGACCGACTGCAAGCGCAGAGAGACTCTCTGGCTCAGAGGCTGCAGGTGAGTGACGGACAGACACACACACACATACACACTAGATGTCTGCACGGACTTTAAACTGAAGCCAAAAACCCGGCCTGTACCCGAAAACATTTACCCCGACCGTTATAGTTATATTTAACCCTTTCACGTGTACGATCACACCGGTGTGATCAGTCTTGGCTGGTCCCTGTAGTGTACAATCACACCGGTGTGATTAGAACGGTCAGCGCTTCACGTCATCAACTGCTAAATTCAAACTTGCTCTCGCGCGTTGGCTGGCGCTGAGCCAGAGACAGACGCACTCAGTGCTGTCATATATCACAACTATTGAGTGTTTTCAACCACATAATGTTTATTTTAGGTTTCAGATATTTAAATAGACAGAAGTACTAGCAAAACAATAATTTTCAGTTTGTAAAATACACACCGATGTCTATGGAAGCAGCAATAATAATCCTTTCAATTATAATAAGACACATTTTATTTATATCAGATGCACATTGTGTAAGTAGCTTAACATTTGACCCTATTCTTCTCCCAATTCACCAGCCATTTACTATCATGTATTTCGTGAGAAGTGGAGGAATTGACGTTGTAAATCCAACAGATCCGATTCTCTGAACTGAAAACGAAACTAAAATGGCGCCGCCCATTGTGCATACAGCTCAACTAACGTGATCGTTATAGAGATGTTTAAACAACAAAACACATCCACTTACACACATTTGACAATCGGAATATCGGTGTTTCATGATATAGCTAATATGTTTGTGAATATTTTTAATAAAAAAGGAAAAATGACATAAAAGCAGATCCTCATTCATTCCATGCTCTGTTTTGGTTGTGCTGTGTCACGTGACAAGCAATGACGTGTCACCATGGAAACATTAAAGCGGCAAGTTCTAAATAACGGTCGCCTTGAAAAACTCATGCTGGGGGGTCAGTTAGAATATTTCAAACTTACCAGTCCCTCCAGAAAAACGCGATTATGCGATCGCTGAATTCAATGCAAAATCAGCCAAAGTCCGCATATTTATGCGGGGGCCGCATTTTTTCAAATACGCCTCACTTTCGCTGCATAAATTGCCGATTTCCGACGCCAGACAGACTCACGGAGGCGATTGACATCTCACAAATCGAACTCGTATAACTGTCTGTCGAATGTTCTACTGTCACATTGTTACTTAATAAACAACATAAGATAAAAGTAGTAGCATCAAACAGAAATTACCCGCACACATGGGGTGTTCGACAGTTCAACAGGGAGCGCACAGCTCTTAAAGGGGCCACACCTTATTTACACTCTTACAGTCTGAAATAAAACAAGATGAGAAATTAAATATTCCCAGCACTTTCTATGATGTAGTATGCTTGCTTATCAAAGGAAGTAATAAGAAATGACTCTTATATTAACAGGATGTTGGGGGAATCACTTTTTTTCTCTTTTTCATCAAACTGCAATTTTTGCAAGTTCCCTCAATTTTTGTAAATTCCAGCAATTTCATCGCATAAAATTGCATAAAAATCCCACATATTCCATCGCATTTTTAAAGAAAACTGGCCGCATAATCAATCAATTTTTGCCCGCAACAATCACAAAAAAAACTCAAGTGTTTTTCTGGAAGGACTGAATACTATTATGGTAAATGTTAAATATAAATCGCAAATTTTTTCACAAATTTTTGGAAATTACCACCACAAAATCAGTCATTTTGATCGCAAAAATCACACAAAAAAATCGTGAAATCCTGGAGGGACTGACTTACGTGTGAAAAGGTTAAACTCTTAGTTTTTCAAAATTTCAAAAAAGCTTGTGGCTTGAAACGGCTGAAAAATAGAGATCTACTGTAAATTAGAACGCACACACACTACTCTTCCTTCACCCCACAGGACACACAGCTGAGGAACTCTGATCTGGAGACAAGGCTGTCTATACTCGAGGAGCGTCTGGAGAATGGAAGGATGGAGGACGAGAGTTTCCGGAAGAGTCTCCGCTCAATCCTGGAGCTGCTGGACGGGAAGATCCTCGAGCTTACTGAGCTGAGAGACAGTCTAAGCAAACTCATCAGCTAGATCACACACACACACACTGCTGGGCGGGAAGATCCTCGAGCTGACGGAGCTGAGAGACAGTCTGAGCAAACGCATCAGCTAGATCACACACACACACACACTCTCTCTCACACACACATACACTGCTGGACGGGAAGATCCTCGAGCTGACGGAGCTGAGAGGCAGTCTGAGCAAACGCATCAGCTAGATCACACTCTCACACACACACACACTGTGAATCTCCTCCGCGTGTGTTTTCTGCTGTAAAGACTCCTGTTCTTCTCTTCGATCTGCGAATGGTTGACGATTCCTGCAAACCTGCTTCAGAAACACTCGAACTTCCACAATCTGAGCAATACGAGACACACACGTTCAGTCACACTATCAGGTATTTTGTGTCTCACACACTCTTTCCCTCTGAGATCTTTACACATGAGCAGTTTCTGCACTACACTGTTCTGTTGCTCTTCGTGGAGAGCACATGTTTACTTCCTACTCTATGGTTTATGCTTATTTATTGTAAAAAAAATAAATAAATATATATATATATATATATTCTAATCACAGTGGCTGCATACGTAGATATTTCATGTACAATCATGTTTGTTTTCATTTTTTCCCCTTTGTTTTTATTCTTCGCACTGTGGAAATATGGTTGTTTTGTAAATGTGGGGATAAACGGGCAATATTTTTGAACTATTTAAAAGGCAAATGTGTCAAAAGTGAAAGCAACTCAGACTTGATTCTGCAGTGTGTGTGTGTGTGTGTGTTTCTGCCCTTCTGAGGGAAAACTGTTGCCAAAAACCCAGAGTGTGTTTGAAGAACTTCAAGGGCTTGCACTGGTTTCTGACACACGGGACGGCTTTATTATAATTATTATTATTGTGTTTCATTTATGAGCCCATGTGACATAATGAGGCTCAGATTCCTTTGGATAATGATATTGATTAAACACACTTCAACACCTGTAATTCTGAGTTTATAGTAAAATTAAATTGGAAAAATCCTCAACACGTTGTTGTGTGTGTATGTGTGTGTGTAAAAGGTTGATATTTCTGTGGAAGCTCGTTTCTGCCACGGACAATAAAGCATAAAACATTCAGTCACTGCGACCACTTTTTTTCTCACAAATATTAATTTTTTTCCCCTGCAATTGTTTTTTTTTCTCACTATTGCAACTTTTTTCTCATAATTTAGAATTTTGACTCGCATTTGTGACTTATCTCAATGACTTTTTTCTTTTAACAGATTTTTTTAAATCTCACAATTTTACCTTTTCTCACAATTGACTTTCATCTCATAATTATTTAAAAAAAAATTCTCACAATTGCGAAAACTTTTTTCTCACAATTTTTACTTTTCTTGCAATTGTGTCTTTTTTTTTATCATAATGGGATGAAGATGGGAAAGATGGGAAGAGCTTCCGGATTGTTACGGGATGTTGTCATGACAACTCTGCATCCGTGTTATTCCTCATGCTTCAGGAACGGGCTTCGATATACTCATTTTACTCTTTGATTTAGGGGGAAAAGTGTCTGTCCTGTTTGCGTGCGATTCCTTTGTTCCTCATGGATCCGTCATATGGTGAGATATAATATCTTTTTTTCTGGAGAAGAGCAGTTTGAACATTCTGCTAAACATCTGCTTTGGATCGAGTAAATGTTCCTTATTATACTAAATCAGGTTTACATTAAAATATTGATGTTTTATCAATGGAAATTATCACATAATTTATTCAAGTTTGGATACATGTTGCATAGTTTGAATATTTAAAAGTTCAATATAAAACTTGTTTTACTTAGGAATTTCATTTGCCAAATGGGATATTTAGATTGAAGGTAGAAAAATTAAGCCTTTTCACCTGGAGATGAATATTCATGAGCACTGACGGTGATGTCATCTGAATGTCGGCTCAGACACGCCCCCTGGTGACGTCAGCGCCGCTCAGTATAGTCACAGTATCATTTACAGAACTCAGAATAATGACATTACACACACACAGGCCCAAAAAAAGAAAAAAAAAACACTATTTCTTTTGAAACTTTATTTACGTAAGGGTCAAAATGCAAATTTAAAATAACTATTAGGAGTACAATGTTTGGAAAAGCAGAATAAAAGCAAAATTGGAATTAAAAAAAAAATCATTATACATTTTATGATATTGCTTTACATATTTAAATATTTAGTTGAACTCAATAAATATAGGTGTCCTCTAGGCAAACATGCGCTGGATCTGCGGTCTGGTCACACGCGTTCAGTTCCTAATATAATATTGCACATGTGGAGTGGCGGTCACGTGATCACGGTCGCTCATGACTGTAGTGTTTCAGCGGGAAAACGGTTCTGATTGACCAGGTAAGAATGCATAGAACATACAGAACAATTAATGTGATTAAAACAAATAATATCAAAAGCTAAATACAGTACATGTGATGAAAAACGTAAAAAAAAAAACACTGCAGTGTCACGAAAGAGTCTGTCCCTCGTCATCGCTGCAGACAGAACAGCATTGTGGGTAAACGTTGTTTCAGGAGAGCTTCGTTAGAGACTACAGGCCTGACAGATGATTCAGTGCCGGACACACAGGAAAAATTACAGTAATAAATCAAGTTAATTCATACGGCGAGATAAATGAAGCTACAAGCAGATAAACGTAATATATCGCTGATGAACAGCAGGAGGCACTGCGTTTCAAGCGCTCAGTCACACATCATTTGTTTCTGAGGCTCTTCTGCTCATTACATCAGAAATACAGTGTAAATCAGCTGTTTTCTATGTGAATAAATAATAAAGTGTAATTTATTCCTGTGACCCAAGCTGAATTTTCAGTCTTCAGTGTCACATGATGTGTCACAAATCAATCTAATATGATGACATGATGATCAAGAAACATTTATGATTATTATCAGTGTGGAAAACAGTTTGTATGTTTGTGGAAATACGATACTTTTTTATTTTTCATGATTCTTTGATGAATATAAAGTTCAAATGAACAGCATTTATTTGACACAGAATCTTTTGTAACATTACAAATGTCTTTACTGTCACTTTTGATCCGTTTAATGCATCCTTGATTAAGTATTGATTTATTTTAAAGCAAGCCCAAAATTTTCAACAGTAGTGCATCATGAACATATGAAGCAGCACAAACATAAACATTAATAATCATATTGAGCATCAAATCATGTGAGATCATGTGACACTGAAGACAAGAGTAATGATGCTGAAATTCAGCTTTGATCACAGGAATAAATGACACACTTTACAGTATATTCACAGAAAACAGATAATTTACATTGTAAATAATATTTCACTATTATACTGTATTTCTGATAAAACAAACACAGCTTTGGCGACTCTTTCAGAAATATTAAAACATCATAACTGGTCCAAAGTGTGTCCTGTACGCCCCATTTGTGCTCCTGCTGTCTCACACACACACACACACACACACACACACACACAAATGAAGCGTGAGTAGGAAGGCTCAGTTGTCCCAGTCAGCGCCGGCTGCGGTCTCGTCCTCGGACTCGGACTCGGGCGAGGCCTCCTTGATGCGCCGCAGGGCCTCGTGGATGGAGCGGGTCAGGGGGTCGGCAGAGTCCAGCGCTGACCCACGCTCATGGCGCCGCACCTTACGCAGCTGAACGCCTTTCCGGATCTGAGCCAGGATGTTGTTCTCGTCGTCCTCGTCCGGGTCTGGCGCCAGAACCCGCAGCTCGGCTTTACGGAGGTGAAAACTACCGCGCTTCAGACTCGCCAGAACCTCGTCCATCGGGGAGCTCGCTGAGGACACACACACACACACACCGTTATGCCAAGGAGAACACTTCAGATCATGTGCTCTTTCCACACAAACCACCAGCCTACAACAAAACACTCATAAATATCTTATTCAACACTAATAAATAAGGCTGATTCAGCTCAGATTTGGACTTTTTACTTTAATTTGGACTTTCTCATAATTAAATCATTCTCACAATTTCAACTTTTTTCTTAAAATATTTACTTTTTCCTATTTTTTTTTAACTTTTTATCTCATAATTATATAATTTTCCTCATAATTGCAACTTTCTCACAATTTAGATTTTTTTTTTTGTGCATTTGTGACTCTCAAATTGACTTTTCTTGTAGCTGCATTTTTTTATCTCACAAATGCCAGAACCTTGTCCATTGGGGAGCTCGCTGAGGACACACACACACCATTACGCCGAGGAGAATACTTCAGATCATGTGCTCCTACACACAAACCACCAGCCTACAACAAAACTTACACTCACCTAAAGGATTATTAGGAACACCATACTAATACAACCCGCTTTTGACCGCTTTTCGCCTTCAGAACTGCCTTAATTCTACGTGGCATTGATTCAATTCATTTTTTCTCACAATTTCAACTTTTTGGATTTTTTTCTCACAATTTAGAATTTTTTTGCAATTTTGACTTGTCTCATAATTACATCATTTTCTCACAATTGTAACTTTCTCGCAAATTTGACTTGACAAATTTGACTTTTTATCTCATAATTATATAATTGCAACTTTTTTAAATTATATTTATTTGTGCAAAATCTTCACTGTATGAAAGAAGCATGCATTGATTCCTATTAAAGCTGAAGACCTGATGCACAAATCCAGTATACTGACTTCATCACAATCTCTCCCAGTCGTTTTACAGTAATTCTTGCCAATATGCGAATTTTGATAATTGTGTGTATTTTCCAATTCATACGCAACTGTGTTAGAGAAGTCAGTTCAGTCTCATCAAGTCTCATCTTGAGCTTAAAGGTTTAAAGGCACAGTGTCCAAGTTTGGCCACTAGAGGTCGCTCACTCAAAACAATAGGCAAAGATGTATCTTGATGATGCTTGAATGAGAGTGAAATCATGGGAGTTCTCTACACCTCCACAGCCGATGGAAATCATGTTTATGGCAGGAGGGCTGCAACAACTTATTTATAATGAAAATTCACATGAGTATTTCTATTTTGCATGACAGTCTGCATTAAAGGGTTAGTTCACCCAAAAAAATGTAGTTGTAACCAAAGGGATAACTGCGTGTAACTAAATATAAATGTGAGCCGTTACGAACATTACCAAGATAAAGAGAAGTGTATTCCTGCAGTCAATTCTTTTATCGTTCACAAGCAGTTTGTGTTTTAATTTTTATTTATTATCTTTATTATTATCTTCATTTTTAATGTAGGGGTTTGAACTTCTGCACATAGCACAGATACAGATATATCCACCGTTTCTGTAGCACTGGCACGGTCGTGAGAAGGACAGCTCTGGGCAGGGTCTGGAATACTCAATAAAAAAAGTCAATAAAAAAAGAAAAGAAAATTGGGCTTTTTAAAATCTGATCAGTCGGTTAATCGAAGAAATAATCTGCCAACTACTTGATTATCAAAATAATTGTTAGTTGCAACCCTATTTTAAGTTTTATTGAGATTCAGGGCATAAGAGCCTATTTCTTTTATTATGCTTAAATCTGCTGCCGCTCCTTTCATTCTGTCATTTATATTTGTTTTCTGATTAAAGTTGCATTTAAAGGCACAATATGTATTTTTTCTGCATTAAAAATAGCATAAATAACCATATCTACGTTATATATTTTTATTAGATATGTTCTTACATTATCCCGACAGTTTCCACCAACTTTCAAATCTGGAGAAATGTAGTTTACTTCGAAGACACGGGCCGTTTCTTTATTTCCGTTTTGTCGCCCTTCTATGGCGTCATATAACCTTTAACTCCTCTATTTTCTCTAACTTCCTGCGTAACCCAGCGAAACCGCCAAACACAAAGGGGAACACCGGATTTCCGCAATTGGACCTCTCAAAACTTCCGTATTTGTGACCAGAAATACGAAATTGTCGTGGTAATCTTCTTCTGCTCCGGTCAGAACAAATACCGCAAGCAACTAGTAAGAGTTGTTGCTTACCAGCCTTTTTTTGTTATTCCCAAAAGCAGCCATATCTGTCGTTTTCATTCCTTCCCTCAGTTCCCTGTTGATGAAGTTTGACGGAAATGGATTCAGGCTATCCGGCGGGATGTTATTGATCCTGTGATCTTTTCTAGTTCTCATGTCACCATTCACTAACCCG